AAATGGGAAATGAATGACAAGTGGGTAATACGATAATAAATGGGTATTATTGTTTGTATTTGTAGAATTCATAAGAACTCTTCAAGAATACCACCAAAAGAATTCCCTGAAGGAAACAAACTAATGTCAACCAAACAGTAATAACATTGGCCAATATTGTAAATTTGTATATATTCACTTATAGTTAAAATTAGAATCTAAGTTTTAATTTTACTTTTTAAATCATTTCTGTTTTTCTAGTATACATAAATTTAGTGTCATCCTTTGTTGTCAAATTTGTTAATAAAATTGTCTCAAAGCTACAGTTGTCTGGAATTTCATAATTATGCATTTTAGTTGATTGGGAATCCTCATCATTATTTGACAAATTAAATAGTTTGCATTGCTCATTGCCACCATATTTTAGGGATCTCATSTTTTAGAGATTTTTGATACTTTACACTAATTTCATTTGATTGGAGAGAATCATTATAGCTAACCTATGAAACTTGAATTACATTGTTAAAACAAAGGAAAACAACTAAAAATAATGCTAAAGGTTACAGGTAAGGTGTAATGACTGAAATGACTCATGAACTTACATCAAAACCAATGTCATGTTACCTGATTTTATTAAAAGTAAAAGAAACCAAAAATATAATAAATTAAAAAGCAATTTTACAATACGACAACATGAACACAATCTTGCATGGAGTAGAAATCCTGGTATGGGGCTGAAAAAGTGCTTTGTCAATGCTTGACATTTTATTTTTTTTCTATAATGTCATTTTTTCCTGGATGTGTATGTGAATTCCAAAAATTTGGTTGAAATAGATCTTTTACATACAATACACCTTAAAACATGGCAGCAAAAGTACATGCCTATTTGTTGAATTTCATGCTTTGAATTCTTTCAATGAAACATGCCTTTTAGTGGCAAAGTTTCATGAATTCAGCCAATCCAAGTGAGAACTCACATACCAYCGTATAACTCGTTCTTTTGTAAATAAAGACTTGCATGGTTAAAATACTTGCAAGACGTTTGAAGGATTCAAATTCTACACAATAATAAAATCTAGCAAAAATACTAGAGTGTTGCATGTTGACACGATTTGGCAAATCTTGCTGTAATGTGCTTCGTCAGTCATATATTATCCTAAAATTCAACTATTGTTAAATTATCTTGCAAATATGTCACACATGCGCCCTTAACTATTTCACAGAAAGAAATTAGTACAAGGACAGTTAAATCATTCTATAAATAAAAACGTCATGGCAAACATCAAACTAAAGCAAATATTGAAATACAAATGAGTCTCTTACATATTAATATATTATTTYGTTTATCACTGTTTTTCACATTTTCTCCTTTAAAATTAACAATCTATAGATGCCTGAGTGAACACACCCAAAATACAAAAAAAAAAAAACTTTTTGAGGAAAAAATTCTGGCCAAACCAAATCTGTACAAATTCTCTCCACACAACAATCCGAGGGACTCTGAGGCTATTTCAAACTTAAAATAGTTGTTTCATCCTCTTTCCATGACACCTCTTTAATTACATCAAGCWAGTATTGACCCTTTCTGGAAATATCTCATTCAAAATTGCAGAAAATCATAASCTTTATATCACATGTCCCCAACTGAGGTTCAACACTGTTCAGTGGATATGTATTGTTTCTTGCTTACAATAAGTTTGTTAGTGCCACAAAAAATACAAGAGGTTCATTTGAAGTTTGATCAAATTTCACTATTTTCAGATAGCTTTTGTGAATGAAAAAACAACAACTAAATATTATTACTGAAGAAATTCCTCTACACTTGCAAAAGCACAAGCCCCTAGTCCTACTTTTGACATTAATTTAAGACATTCTTGTGCCTGTCCAAGGACAAGGTCTAATGGTGGCTGTCTTGGCATATTGTGGGATTCTGAAAAAAAAAGTAAATTGTTGTTTAAAACATCTTAAGAACATGTGCTTCTGTTATGTAATAAATGATGCATGAGGTCCTTCATTAATTGAAGGGTTCCCCTAGTCAATACATTAGACAAGAATTAACTTTTAATTCTAAACTTTTAACAATTCACATGATTAAAGAAATACTAAGAATTTCCACCCAAATAATCCATGATATAAGTGAGATAATAAGTGAGACTTACCTAAAATTGCACTATTTAAGGCTGAACAAATGGGTTCTCGTTGAACTGGATCTAAAAGATATCCTACAGGACTAGACCATGGATCACTGTATGCTAATAAACTGAATGCATCCTGCAGATTGAAAATATAAGCCATATCAACATGGATTTCATAAATATGCAAATTCAGCTTCTCAARAATATTATATCAAAAGCTACATTTGCACACTTTTTCATTTATTTATTTATTCACATGCTAATCAGTGACTATTTATTTATTATTGACTGATTCTGTCATTTAGTGACATAATTAATCATACACAAATTTATAAGAGTTTACTTATAAATAGCTGTGAATTTTTCCTCTGTAGTCACATACAAAGGAATCAAGAATGAGCTGCCATGAATAATGCCCAGTCATTCATAAAAAGACAATAGTGTTTCCTGATTGACTAATCTTTATGCACATCACCTAAGTCTTGATTCTTTTGTGTTTGACTGCTAAAGTGAAATTCACAAGTCTGCTAATCATTCACTCATCCAATTTGTAAGTTTTCCTTTACATATTCACTCCTATAACAACTTTATTGATACCACATTCTTATTCAAATATATGTTTTGTACCTGTAAAGCCTTCTTGTTGGATTCATTTTTGCCATGTTCTCTTCTAAGTTGTACACTCATGTTTTGTAAGTCTCTACCAAAACTTAGAACCTTTTCTAAAGAAGATCGATTACCACAACATAATTGTCTTGGTGAACAAGCTTCTGAAGAACCTTGAAATAATAAAAGTAATCCTGGTTAATGATGATAGTGATGCTGAAAGTGTTGATGATAGTGATGAGAAGATAACATACTCTTTCTGGGACTGTGAGGCTGGTCATCAGGCATTGTATCACCATTTAATATGCTTCCATTAGATGATTCTTCCACATCTTCTACTTCCATAGCTGCATCGTCATCTTCCACAATTCCATTATCAACGCCATTACTGACAAGACCATTAGATGCCGAGCCACTTGAGCTTGCACCTACACTACTTACAGATGCACCACCATAAGAATGGGTGGGACTAACATTAGGACTAGACCTTGGACTGTGTGCAGATGGACGTACTTCACTATCATTACCGCTAACCATTTCAACAAACTGACGACATTTAAGAACAAATAAAAGATTTTGGTCTCTTTCTAATAGTCCTGGGTAAAGTGCTTGAGTCATTTCTATAGCTTCTCCCATACGTCCAGCTAATACCAACTTCTGTATTCCTAGTAAACAAGGAATGATCTATCAATCAATTGGCTATATTATTATTAACATTAGATGCAAGTAGGCATCTTACTTTGTCTGTTTTTAATGGAGGCCAGCTCCTCTGGACTTGTTTGTCCTGTACTTCTATCAAATGCCTCAGCTGTTGCACAATAGCCATGATGTCGGAGATATGTTGAAACAATTCTACAAAACAATAGGCTCACAGACATTAGAAACAGCTTTTCATGCACCATATCATCATATATTATTGATATTTGGTAATCAAGGATGTATATTATTTGATATCTAATCAAGCTTTGCCCAACCTGCCCCATAATTAAAATTCTCTTCTTTTTAAATGAAAAACTTACTTTTGTATTGTTGATTGCCACTGTCCTTCTTTGTCACATATTGGATGTCTTTCTATCGATTGTCTCGTGTTGGAATGAATTTCCTGTAAAAAAAAATAAGGAAGAACTTATAACAAACAAGATAAAAGGAGAAGATTAAAAAAGGAGAAGATTAAAAAAGATCTCATCCAATCCTACCTTTATTTCCTCATCTATGTTGTATATAAATGGAAGTTGTCCAAAGTTTGCATCCACAACTTCTCCTGGTGTTTGTAGTCCCACAGTAGGATAAAGGTTAGACTGAAAATAACATTAGAATAAATAAATTTTGAAGCCAAAACGAAATTGTTTATTGCACAATATTAGCACTTACTGGAAGGTCTCTGAAAGCAATACCTGGTGATAGTAATAACACAAAATCAATTTACAATAAAACTAAAAACAATAATTATAATGCAGGCATATATCATCTGAGAACATTATTACATGAATGCCTTTTCTTTGCAGTTGTTATTTGATCCTCAAGCTCTTAAAATCTCTTCAACACTCAAGAATAAAATCCCTGTTATGTGCTCACATAATAATTTCTCTTATTACCTAAGTTGACTCCGTTTTTAGTATAAAAGCAAGTGTTATCAATAAGGTTTAATCCACAGCCAATAATATCTCCTGTTGTAAATGTCGGTCCATACGGCTTCCCAGTCCCAGACGAGCAAAAAGAGTGACCATCATCTCCATGGAAACCATAAGAATTCTTCTCCCATCCTACAAGACAATAAGTGATTTAGAAAATATTTAGGCAAACAAAGAAACAGAATGGGAAGGCACTGGGTGTTGTTCTACTTTATAATGATACAATCCAATATCAGTACTTACCAGGAAGTCTGTTCATATTTACTCCTTGTGCTGACAGACCAATACCCATGTATCTTCAGTAGATCAAACAATAATTATAATCATGATAATATTTTGTACAATAAAGTTGAAGTGATATAGTATTAACTACAACAGCTGATATATCAGTAATACATCTATGTATGAAGATGCACTACCACAAAGAAACTATAAGGTTACTACAAGAAATGGATGGATTAATAGTGCCTGAATGAATGTGGGCATTATAAATAACATAATAGTTTTACCCATCGCGTCCTTTGCTGACAATTCGTACTTCAAAATAATACAGACCACATGCTGGTGGTATAGGGTGTGTAGCTCTTACAGATGCTGCATCTTTGTGAGTTTTCCCAACACCTTTGAATTCAAAATACTTTAGTGAGGTTATTTTTCAATCACAGGGAGGGAGATTATCCTGGATAATATATTTAGCTGCAATAAGCTCATTGGTTAAGAAACTTTAATCCTGATGTTAGGCCAAATATACTTCACAGTATAATATTCCAAATGTAATTAAATATAATCATTCTTTAAAGGGCAATATTCCTGGGGAACATTAAAAGAAATACATGTACTATAAATTAATTTATGCATCTCCTTGAAAGCAAATTATCATAAATTATTTCTATTCTTATTGTTGTATGTTTACATATTGTCAAAACCACTTTAACCTATTCTGGTGTTATACTGTGTGAGTGCTCCTAGAGTGTTTCTAGGATGGGAGGGAAGTTTTCAAGTTTTTTTTTTATTATGGAAGCTATTAATTAACTACTATAATCAAAGAGAATTGTTTGAGATTTGAGACTTAAACAGACAATTGAACCAATAAATAAAGATACTTTATTTGAATACATTTCGTAAGAAAAATTACTCAGTTTTTTGTCACAAAAAAAAACAGTAGAGGCAGTTTTAATTCGCAATGTTAATATAAAGGATCTCTTTTGGAAAATTGGGCAAAAAGTGAGAATTTATACAGAATCACTATGATTTCTAAGAACGACAATAATCCAGTTAAAAACTACCCAAGACTATTTCGATCTTAAGTTTAATGTCGTGATATGAATACTAATAACAATATACATGAAACTTTAGTAGCTTGTAAACAAATGTAAGTTGGATTTCAACATCGGAACTTCTAATCCAATCTGCGCACTTTCTAGTAAAAAAAAACTTTTAAGGCAAAGAAAGGAGGCTTAGAGTTATTACAAATAAACGAATACAAAATCCAGAGCACTGAGAAACGAAACAGTGAGCTAAATACAGTGAACTTGCATCATATCAGCGAAGAAAGAGTTGTATTGTCTGTGATGAAATACCTTTATAATGTACACGAAGATTGTTCTGTGATAGACCGATGAAGGTGAATTTATCTTTAGGGCTCCAGCATCGCGGCAATGGCGTTTCTGACTCGTCTACCTTCGGATAGAGGGAAGATATTCGATCGACTTGTTGGTTGGAATCCGTAGAACTAGAACCAGCCGCCATCTTGGATTATTGTTGGCGATGAACTCAAGTTGCGTCATGTACCGCATGGAATTATGGGACATCACAGGGAACCCGAAGAGTCAGACATATTAATAAACACTTCTAGTCTCGTGTTTATCTTAGATAATGAATGGCTTTATTGAAAACATTTTACAAAAGTACAAGTACAATTCAATAGTTATTGGATATAAACATTGTAGAAGATTGTACCCATTTAGTCATTCCCACCCATTTATGCGACCCCCAGTTATAATTTTTAAGTTGTTCATTTCTGTATAAATACCCTTCCCCCTAGAATTCTGATTTAGTTCCTTTGCATTTTATAATGCTTCTCGTACCTATTCAAGGCTTTTGTTTTAAATAAATTATACTTTCATGTACATTTATAAATAAGAGACATAATATTGAAGAGTTCTCTGAAGTATCGCTTCAGCCACAATATTCAATTGTTTTTGTTATATTTGTGGATGGTGTGTTCATGAAATCATCTATGTCACTTAAAAACGAGATCAGAAGGACAATCTTGTGGTGTCGGCTTGTGTCGTAGGCTTGCTTTCTGAAAGCATCTAAGAATATCTCTAACTTTGTTGGGTGACGGGCTGGATAAGCTATTCTGCACACTTGCTTCACAGAATTCAGGGGGTGACTGGAGGACTCAGGAGACTGGCTCTAGAAAAGCTTCTGATTGGTACACATTCCAGTTCACTCTCCAAACTCTTTTCTAGCATGGTCACATGATCTAAGTAAATGAAGGAATGAATGGATTATAAAAAAATGAATAACATTAGGTTAATTGTTATCATTATTTCATTCCATGGTATCTGACATTTATTTCAGAGCATATCAGGCACACAATCCTGGTTCATGTTTTACACTCAGAAAAAATCTGCAAAATACACAAGACTTCGATATTTTACCTTCTTCAAGGTCGCCAATGGTACTCATCTTGTGTAAGAATTCAGAGCACATGTCTTTACTCAAACCAAATGCTTTCATGTTACTCACAAAAGTCCTGCATGAAAAAATGAAAAAAAAAATGATTATGACACACAAAGCAAAAAATTAAATTTGCAAAGACTGTTGCAACACTGCAAAACCAAGGGCAGCTCCAGCTAGTGGGTGCAGGGCGTGCACCCCCACCCTCCCCCCCTGAGATCTGTATCCGAGAATACTTTCCTTATTTTGTACCTTCATGGTAATGACTTTTTGTGGTGTGCACCTACTGAGTGCCCTGCACCCCTCCCTGAGGAAAATCCTGGATTCGCCCCTGAAAACATACCCTAGCTTTCCAAAGAGACTATTTTTATCGCATTCTTGGTAATCAAGTTGCTCTTGCGAAGACCAACTTTCCCACTCTTTACTAAAATATAAACAAATCAAAAACATTAACACTTGCCACTAACTCTAAAGGTCTCAAACTCATCGAGTGTAAATATACCTTGATATAGCAGGCGATCCTCTCTCTGAATGAACAGCGTCAAAGAATGCTGCATTCCAGTATCTCATCGATTGCCTGTTGTGAAAGTTAAAACGTTTTCGTTATGCTTAACTTCAAAGTGGAATGACAACCGTTTTCTTTTATTAGAAAAGTCTTGTAACTGAGGAGGTTTTACAATAAAACGAAACTAGTTTTACAGACAATACAAGCTGATCGTGCGTCAAGACCGAATAACTCAAGCCTTAACATACTTGAGGAAATCAAGATGAAATTCGTTTTCTTTTTGAACGACATATTTCTATACATCCGCAAGTTTTAGCGCTTTGCACACGATAGAGAGACAAGGAAACTACAGTTACAACACAAGAGAGAGAGAGGTGCGGACAACGACATTGTTATTTTGATTAGACGCAAATGATCAGCGAGCGCGGACAACGACATTGTTATTTTGATTAGACGCAAATGATCATTTTCGTCAGGTTGGCGAAAGGGACTGGTTCAGTGCTTAGTAAAACAGCGTCCCGCGCAGAGTAAGAGTTTCGTTATCTTATTGCTTAATCATAAGTTCAATCACTTCTAACTAATACTAGTCGTTTTAACTTACCATATTGGTTGGCTGCTAAGATATGCCGTAAGAAACTCCTTTTTGGGTGTGTCAACTTCATCTCCTACGACAATACAAAAACCGCGGCGTTGGGTATAATACAGTCACATGACATCTGAATTAATCCCCGCGTAGCACTAGCATAAACTAGTGTCTATTCATTTGTGGGCACGAATCTTTGTTTAACTTGACGTGTTAATAGTTATACCTGGATTAAATTCGTGGTAGAACGTAAAACACATATTCATGAGATTCTTTGCGGGTACGAAATCATCGGCCTGATGACACCTGAAAGATGAGGAAAGACAAAGTTAATATCTCGAGTTTTTACAACTCTCTTTTGGCAGCTTATTATCACCTATTTTAGTCGATTAGGTTGCGCAAAAGATTGGTAAAAAAAGCTAAAAAGATGCGGAGATCCAGAGGTTCGAAGTGTATGTGTGGAGTGGGATATCTATGTATAACTACAACACAACATTCATGAACTCCTTAATGGGTAAAATTGGCGTGGCTATTCACGCCCAACGCCCCTAACTAATGCAGGCCTTAAATGAGTGCATTTAAAAGCATTTGCAGACTATTCAGATAGGTCGCHGGGTAAGCACGGCTATTCCTATGGCAACCTACACAATAGCATAATATGTAATAAGCGTTTATCGCTTCACAAAGACAACCTCTTCAATATTTAATCCAAAAACTATTGCAATTAAATCAAGTATGTCCATTGAACAATTTCTAGATACATTGTCGCAAAAGTTCATTAATTATACATAACTCCCACCAAACACTTATTGTTAGTGTCCTAATTCTGTTATTAAGTTCACACTTTGAGTCCAAAACCTGCGAAACTAACAATTAAAAATGAGTAGTTTACCCAAGTTAAAACTTTCTCATCTTTATACCATGGACCGCTTCAACGACAAGTCCGATCAACAAGCCGTTGCAGGCGTTCAAGACAACTTCTTTACACAAGAGGTTAAGATACATCTAAAAGACGATGGGTTGGGCAAATACAAGATTGAAAATGACAATTTCGTAAGTGTTTTCACAATTCTTTAAAATTGTTTTGCATAAAACACTTTCACCTTTGTTCGTGAAAATGTCAAGTATGTCGTTGTACAGGAATATGGTACTTGTGAGATTTGCCATGATCTATATTCTATCACACAAATTCACAAAAGATTCATAGCGGTGATTTAATCTCATAGTTCTCCCCAGCCAGACGGACAGGTGCTCGAAAGAACAAATATATAAAACAAATAGCTTCAAGATTTTTTTCTTTTGATGAAGGACAGGGATGGCCATTAGCGGGAGGTCCTTGCAGGGCTGACCTAAACTGCTCCGCTACTACTCAATGGCTTGTTTTGTTTAAACATCCTTTACTTTTTCAGGCAGAAAAACTTGAAAACTCACGTTATGCTTCAACAGCAGTAAGTATGATTCAATCTACGCTTTCATAAATTTGCTCATTCACTTATCCATCCATTTATTAAATATACATTTTTGTTTGATCGTTTGTATTTTATCAAAATTTGCGATGAGCATAGACATTTTTTGTTGATTCATATAATATGGTCATCAATAATATTCTCAAATCAGAGAAGATTTAAGAATAAGATTTAACGCAACTCCTACATATACACCCCTGCATTTCTTGCTAATATTGATTCTTCAATAGGGCAAGAGGTTCCAGAACAGCTTTACCAGCAAAAAGGTGAGGCATTGAGAAAATGACTAGAACCTACAAAATGAACAGTCTCTCCAAGACCACTTAAAATTGGTGGTTGATGAGGACTTAGTGATACAAACAATATCCATACAATAGCCAATAACAGTAGACATAAGTACGCTTGTAAAAAGTGTAAGAATTAGGGAGCCAATCAGAAAGCATTAAACCTGTTGATCCAAGGACCATCCCTATGACAACTGCTATTAATTTGTAGCCTAGCCCTGTAGGGAATGAGATTACACAATAACACCAAAATACTAGATTTTTGTACTTCCTTGAAATGGTAAACCAAATGAAGTGGGCAAAATGTACTGACTTACTCAAATAAAACAACAGCAAAATACTGGATAAGTCTGTAAAATGTCATTTCATCAACACTTTTGCTGTAGACTCTCTGAAATAAAATTATAGAGTTAAAGCTTAATGCATAATATATGATAACATCATATCAATAACATATTAATATATATAAATTGATATACAGCTGTTTGCAATAATTCTGACCCCCTCTGCCATATTTCAAATATATCAAACTGACCTTAAATATTATGGGATATCATGACTGATATATTTTTTGAGTTGTCCAGAATGAGTACTTTCTAAAAAAAATATCAGCAATGGTATCCCATAATTTCTAAGGCTACTTTGATATATATGAATATTAGTGTAGGGGGGTCAGAATTATTGCAAATAGCTGTATACACAGTCCTTGTACAATATAATGTGTGCCACATCAGTTTGTATACCTGTGCATCAATATGCTTGGCAAATGCCTGTCGTCCACAAGAATGCTACAAATTAGGGGTTGCAAAATATAGTAAGAAACACATATAAATACTGTACATTAACTCTACGTTAATGAAAATAATAACAGAAACAGGTTTGAAAATATTGTTGACACAAACTTGTTACCTGACAAACTACACCAAACTTTGCTTTATCTTCCTGAGTGATTTCACTGGAATATTTAAACACTTCATTATTCAAATGAATTTCTAACAGGTTAGCTTTGTAGGAACATTTGAATCATGAAGAGATTTCTTACCTTCCAGAAAATATCTTTATGACAAAATCATGAATGAAAATATCACATTCCTTTTCAAATAGGTCCTCTTCATCTTCATCTTCATCCAAAAAATCTATCAAAAAAAAAACATACAAGCTTGCAACAAACTGTCTGCTGTTTTCACAATTACAATCATAATTTCTTGCCTAACTGTTTTATTTTTTTGATAAACATTGAATGTCATATGAAAAAAAAGTTAAACTCATTCATCTAATTCTGATTTTTTTGAGAAAATTTACATTTTGTTGTGAAATCTGGTTGCCTAGCAACAGTTGCAGCAGTAAAAAACTTGCTTTCACTTCTTAGTATACATAGATTATCTTCTTGATATGAAATTAAAAATTTATCTTCAAAAATATCAGTATCTAAGGGATATAAATTGTAGTTTGAAGAATGTAACATAGCATTTAAATGTCTTGTTGATTTCAAATCAATGCTTGAATTTTAATGGTTTATCAAGTTTTCCATTTAAATCATTATTATATTATTTTTCAACAAAATATGTTCCTCCTCATAACAAGTACATTTCCAGATGTAAGTTTTAAGCATAGTTTTTAGTCAAGTTAATGAATGTCACGCATCAGCTGTAAAAAAGTATATGAATTTGCATTCATTTAAATATCTCATGGCAGAATAAATTCTAGAATATTGCTATAAAAAAATTCTATTATTTTCTCTATAAATATTCCAGTGTCTGAAATTATATATAAATGAATGAAAGGAAATTAGAAGGAAATTTCACTTCCAAATAATAAAATGAATATCAAGTACTTAATAATGGAAGTAAGATTATCTTATAAACGTTTTAAAAATTGAAAGAAAAAAGATAGAAAACAAAGATAGAATTTAACAAGAAATTAACAGCAATACCCGCTGGGAGATCGTATTTAACAGGAACCAAGTCTACATTTACTTAAATTACTGTAACTTAAATCATATTTAATATGTAACTTTTCATAAATCACTTGAATCTCCTTAGAATCCTAGACACGCAAAGCTTAACTTATGTTTCTTAATACTCTAAAGCAAGGATAAGCTCTTAAATAGAATATTTTAACCTTGTTCTTGATCACTTGACATGGGGCTGTCCATTTTTTGCCGTTAATATATTGATCACTTCAAAGCCTTCTCTTCCAAATACAAGTTATCGTCCTGTGTTGACTTCATGTCCTTACGTGTCCTTTTATCATGTTATCCTCCACGTTCTTGAGAATAAAATACTTATGAATATAAAGCGTTTCTGTCAGACAGCTTGTATAACATTCAAACAGGTGATTAAAGCATGATAACTGTCCAAAATCATCCAAGATGCCAGCATATTTCATGAATATTAAAATTCTTTTGTAGTAAAATATTCCAGGAATGTAAAATACAATATCGGATCAGCTGGATTTTCTTTTTCTGGAATATTCTGGTCATATGTAGGAAATAAAACATCCTTTGTAGATTCAACAGAAGAGCATAAAATCAAAATATTTTAGGAAGATCACGGCTGATTTGTTCCCAACCAAAATGCAGCTTTTTGACTGTTTCCGAATCATCCACGGAAAATTTCGAGTGATTATCGATTGATATTTACCCAACATTCAATGCGATACGACAAACACTCTTGGCAACGTCGTAAAACACTGAAGGAAAAGAAAGTAAAATGGTTGGTTGAAGTTTGACTTGAAATCTTGTTGTTTTTACGCTGTTGTATAGATAAAAAGTAGGTGGAGATAATACGATAACATTATTTTATGTTTTCAGACTGAGGTAGAGGAAACTTTAAAGCGAATTCAGGCCCACAAGGGTGTAGTCGGTGTGTTGATCATGAACAGCGAAGGTTGGTAGAGCAGTGTTTGTTTATGTTTTCAGATTTTAGAGATTCACATGCCTTGATTATTGTATTTTTCTGTTTACTCAGGTATTCCAATAAGGACAACACTTGATAATGCCACTTCAGTACAATATGCCGGCCTTTTTCAACAACTAGCCAACAAAGCTCGTACCACAGTTCGCGATATTGATCCTCAGGTAGCCAGGCTTAATATATTTTTTAAGAGGGCGACATTTGAATATTCAGCCAAATTCAAGTCAGTACCCCTTATATTATATACATTCTTCTGTGAGCATTGTTTGAAAGGGTTGGGTGAAGGAAGGTCAAGGAATGTTTCCAGTTTTTTACACAGATTGACTTGTTTTTTAAATTTTTCTGATCCCAATGAGGACATAGATGCTCATGTAATAAGGACAGAGCATTTTTATCAAAGAAATAAACATATCTTGAGGTTGGTTTATTTTTTGTTTCAGAATGAACTTACCTTCCTGAGAATTCGCTCCAAAAAGCATGAAATCATGGTTGCTCCAGGTAAGACAGGACAACATCAAGGCTGAATTGATTGTTTTCACACATTCCCATGAGATTCAAAAGAAAAAAAACAGCAGTCATGTTGGAGGAATGAACAATAGATACTAATGAGAAATCCATTGTTAAAGTTCCTCCAAGATGGCCACTGTGACATAACTTGAAAATGAAGAATTGTGGAACTATTCAAACATGACTATAAATGTCATTAATGATGACTGTTTGTTTTTGCCATTTCAGACAGAGAATATTACTTGATTGTCATCCAGAACCCAAATGTTAACCAGTGATAACCAGCAGGATTATAAATATTGACTTTTTTGTATATACTGTGATGCCTTGTACATGATATTGTTTATGTCTAATTATTATTTCCCTTTGCACATGTGCAGTCTGGTAAATCCCTAGTATATGAATACTTGGGTGTATTGCATTCTCAAAAATAACCTCTTTGGTCTTGTCTAATAAATTAAACTATTAAAATAATTGAATGTGAGTTGTTGTGTTTGAATTCTAAAAAATAAGGAAGACGCTTGCCAGACAGTTTTTTTTAGGTATAAGAGCACAATTTAGTTGTGTTAAACTCTCCTTTACAGCTAAATAAATAATCAACACTGAATAAGACAATGTATAAGCAGCCAACAATCATTGCCAAAATACCTTGCATCATAGTAGAACAAAATGCCTTCATCCTGATAGTTTTTCCTTTAAATATTTTTCACAACTTTCCCCAACACCAACAACATTGCATTTGGTGGGTGAATTTAACAATTGATGTGTTTGAAATAAGGCAATTCACTTGTTCCAAACATTTTGACAGGGATTGCAGTATAGCAAGGTTTTTGAAGCACTCTTTCTGGAACCATTATTATTAGATTTTGAAGTTCGGACCCAGTCCCTCTTTTGTTTTGTTATCGGGCAATTGTCAGTATCAATGAACCAGGACCAAACAAGATGAATTGAAAATGGTCTCGTGTGGATTCATCTTCATTGCCTTCTGGTTCATTGATACTAACAAATTGTCTCTATATAGCTGCTATTTGTTAGTATTTAGTTTGACTTTATTTCATGGTTTTCATGTGTTTGCTCTCCTTTATGCCTCTTCTTTTGTCAGGCTTTCCTTTTACTTACACTCTTGACTTCTTAAATGTTCAAAACTTTGCAGTGAACAGCTTAATGCTGCACCTGTGGGTCCACTTAATTTTGAACATTTTATGATGTCAAGAGTGTGTTGACGAGAGGACACATAACTCAAAATCATCCACAGTCTGCTATCAGAGATTTTATTGCTATTGAGAAGTGAAAGGAAGTAGCCTTTTGATTGCCAATTTTTATGCAAACCAAACCGTGTAAGCCAGTAAAAAATTAAGAAATGAATCACATAATTAACTGATGACAATAAAACCAGTTTAAAACAGGTTTAAATAAAATATAGTCAAGGGAGCATCCAAAGTATTCTCAGTAGAACCTTCTAAAGGCCGATTTAGACGGCACAACTATAGCCTACAACCATCGCATGCAACCTGCGTAAGTCATCCTTACAACATAGCTACAACTGTCATAGTCAAACAATTGCTTAATATCCCTGCGACAGTTGTAGCCATGTCGTAAGGATGACTTACGCAGGTTGCATGCGATAGTTGTAGGGAAAAGTTGTGTCGCCTAAATCKGCATTAATGCCCTTGATGAAGTCCATGAAGCTTTGATACTTTTATTGGGAATTGTCAATCAAAGTTTCTTTCTCGTGCTTTTAAGCAAGGAGGAAGAAACATCTGCTTGAGGGAAGTGGTTTAGAGCTGTCCTTACCAAAAAATCTACAAATTAAGAGTATTCAATGTTTAAATCTTTATTTTTAAATAAAAGCACTAAAATGCTTTACATGAATTTATTGGCCTGCCAAATATCATATGATTTTATCTAGTACAAAATTGATAATTTAAAACTTATATTATATTTTACAAAATTAGAGTTTAAATTCATATTTTATATATCATTTTAAAAATTACTGAGAGATCCTGGCATGTGTCAGAATGCAAAATGAAAATAGAAAATCAATGACTACCAGTAGTTTACATTATTATCTCACATTTATGCAAAATAGATCAGTTAGTGATGATTATTAGCTTTAGAATCTTATATATAATGATTTCATGTTTAAAGTGTTTCTTCAGCATTTAAATGTGCAGTTTCATTGCAAGCATTTTCACTTGGTGTGGTACTGCACTGTGGAATTAGTTCAGCCATTTCCATGTCCTCTGGTGCTGAGTAAAAGGGTGAGCCAGTGGTGTAGCGTTTGTCGTAAATGTCTGCATGTGAATGAAATTAGTGAGAAAATGAACATGAAGAATAATCAGAAGAACAAGACAAGTTGTTTCAAGAAGAAGACAGTTTTGACATTTATTGACATGTATCAAACAGCTATTGTTTACAAATAATAATTCATAGTTTGCACTGCTTGAATAATAATTATATTTACATTAGTGATATATTAAATTAAATCATTGRATACCCTCAAACAATAACTATCATAGAAATCGATTGTAGAGTTTAATGTTGTGTTGCTTTCCTAATAACAGGAACAATACTATAACAATATCAGTCATACAAATTGAAGAGTTGTTTGCAATAATTCCTTTTTGGACAATTTATTTGACAGTAAATAATTCTAATTTTTTGCTAAATACGTAGTTCTAATGACTATAATTTTTTTTAATTTTACCATTTTAAAACAAACTAGTAATTTCCCTAAAGTGATGGAGGAAATGAAAGAAAGTTAAGTGCATATTATGATTATTGTCTGAATTATGACATGTAGAAACAATCTCCTTTAAAAAYATTGAAATCAAATAAATTTCACATACTATTTTACATACTATAAATTCATGACAAAAGTATTCCACAATAACGTTAATCATGACAAAACTATGTCACTAATAAATAAGACAGCTTTTACCAATAAAGCTACATTTACACAAGGATATGATCAACATATGAAAATATTTTAATAATTATTACTTTGTGATAGCACTTTAAAAGAGTGCTCTTGAGGTTCCAAGAGCTTTAAGTCATATATAGTTCATAGTCACATAGTCACAAACTGCACACTAAGTTGAATTCCTTTAGGATCCTGTGATTGAAAATTTATTGTCATTCAACCTTGCCAAGAAGGAGAGAATGGATGATGCATGACCAAAGTTATTATTCTTGGATAATATATTATTTGTATTGTTATCAGTTGAACCACCAAATATTGCAAACAAGGACAAGATTATTGCCCATAGTTCTCAGTAGATATATGGAGTGAACATGTTTCTCAGTAGATAGAATGAACATTTTCCAACAGTAATCTGTGCTCACAGTAACATCTTTCAATTCTCTCCAACAAACCTGCATTTGTGAAATATTTTTTATGCCAATTCTTTGACAATTTGTATGTTGCTGTTCTGTGAACTGTGAACTTAATGGTGATACTCCAATTACTTATATATTTTATATTGAAAAAAATCTAAATTTATGTACAATAACCTATGGTATTTTTGACTACTTTGTGCAAGATATCTCAAAATTATTCAATATTATGTTGAATAATGGCAATTGGATCTTAAGAGTTTACAGTTCCCTAGCAAATAGCCTAATGGTTATAACAATGCATGCTTTTATCAAAACCAATAAAATAAAGCCTGTACAAAACACTGAAGTTTCAGAAAGACAATCAACATTAAAAAATTCAATATCAATAACATGACCAGAATTAATTTGCATGGAATTTGCAGAAAAATTGCTGTGAAAAAATAGCTTAAACTGTAGCAAATATCAGTGAGTATAATTTTGATAGTAGTACAATGTTATGAAATTATGATGTGAAAATATTTCAGCATGTTATTATGACTGTTTTTAAATTTCACTTACAAAAATATCAGATACTAATATCCGTTAACAACCTTTGAGAATTAACTACAATGATTTCAATATCATTACATTATCATTATAGCTGACATTGTCAGGAAGAAAGCTGAAGAGTTTGAGAAAGATGAAGCAGAGAAAGAGTAACCAACAGTGCATTCCATACAATCTTAATTGAACTCATCAAGAACAACTATATTTTCTGCATCTCTACCACGATTAGCACGCAAACGATTCTCACCCTTTCTAGGTTTAGCAGGCTTCTTGGCTGTTTTGAGAAACTGTACCAATAGTCCAATAACAGCTAACAAAGGCCACATACCACCAATCAACCAGGAGACAAGGCATAGCTCTCCACCAGTAGTTACAAGGAAGATCTTCTTTAAAGAGTATCTGCATAACCACATATCTTCAACAAAATAATCCAAACCACTTGCAATCAATGCGCCACCAAAAATACTGGACATGACAATAAGAGCTCTTTTCCACCAGACAGCAATTCCTGCAAATGCCACTGAAATACTGATCATTATCCCAATGGGGATTGATATTGTATTATAACCTGGAAAGAGACTTGCAAAGCCAAGAAGAAATGCCATACTAATACAGAAACCTGCTGCAAGACCACATGTAAATTGTCCACAGAACTGTACAGTGGTGCATAATATCCCAATAAATATTGACACTGCTCCAGTGATCAATAGTATGTATAGAGTTGATAGACTGCTTCTCTCAATACAGATAAAGTATGTTAACAAAGCACCACCTCCTAGTCCAGTCAGGAATAATGATGTCCGGAAATATTTGAATCCTGCAAAGCAAACAAAAAAATCAATTTTACTTTCACTTACAGTGGTTTTTGTATTAAAGTGAGTAATAGCATGGCTGTATTCAATAATATTTCTATTCACCCTATAAAACTATGTAAAAACACTTGACTATCTTTTAAACATAAAAGACTAACAAGTGAAGCACAAACTGGCAATAATAGTACATGAAACTGATATTTTAGATCCAAAAAATTAATACACTCACAAATATTAAACACATATCTCTGTCCATCATTCTGAGTTATCATGTAATCATGCAATGAAATGCAATTTACAATGAAATACAGTATTTAATGAGATTTGATGAAAGGTTTACACAATCATTACAACAGACATATTTTACAAGAATGATGTGCAGTGGCTTTTGTTCCCTAGCAGCTATCCAGTTCTCAAATCGTAAACAAAATGTGCTTATTCTTACCTACAAACAACTCAAAACCACCCAGTATAACAGCCAAAGAGCAAGCAATTGCTGGTCCTAGAGCTATGGGGAAAGTCAGGTCTTGCCAATCACATTTAAATATTGTGATATTTGGTACTTGAGTTGAAGGAGCCACAGTGGTCGAGTTATTCACAGCAAAAGAAATACTGGTGAAATTTGAGAGCAGGACGATGGTAAGAAGCCAAGCTCGAGAGAAACACCTTACTGTCCATCTCACTGAATCCTTGCTTTGTAGTTTACGAGCTTCCATCTGAGAATAAACAGTGATTTTTGATCATACAATACGAAATCATAACAAGATAGACAAAAGAGAATTAAAGTGTGTTCGTTGTGAACTAGGAAATCGCTGACCTGTGGTTTTCAATACCACAAACGACCATACTTACCGAATTTAATCCTTTGTATTTTACTTGTAACACTTAAAATGTGATTCACATAAACATCAAAATCATATTTCAGTCATTACATAGTATTCGAAAGCAAATTTTGGACGTGGACCCTTTACAGACGATGAACGTGGTTCACCCCTCGACATTGTGTCGAAGAGTCGAAGAGAAATGATGACGTAGTATCCCGTCACGTCTCGTACAAAAAACTTGCCCGAGGGACCACCACACAAGAGCATGCGACAATTAAAAATATTGAAACTTCGGTTGAAAAGGTTCGCTCGAGCATAAATCCTTTTCTCTGTTCTCAACTGTTTCATAGAATCACTTTATAAAGACAGCGATGTATGTACTACAGTTTATGATGGCTATGTGATTTATGACCTGATGATTTCCCTGCTGATTGTACTGTGCTGGGGGGGGGGGGGGGGAGGAGTCGAGTTCTGTGTTCAGTTTTATATTCGACCTTTTTCTTTTCAATCTTTCAAAGTACAATCAGAATCGATGTCAAAAATAATATTTACTGCATTTTGCTAAACTGCTTTTCCTCAATCTTGAATGAAATGAGTCTGGGTGATAGTTATATATGCGACACACGTGATCTTCTTTTTGTTGAAACATATATACACACAACTTCTCTATACGGCATTGTTCATATTATACATTACGAAACTAAGAGGAATTTGCCTTTTCAGCCTTATGAAAACGAAATTGGAAAGCCAAGTGGTCCTCGTAGCTCAAGGAAAGACAATGACCATGTCTGAAGTCCCGGGAAACTTACTGATTTTCATTTCCTCTCCAAATATGGCAGAAGTGTCTCCTTATATGTGGAAAATATTGCTGTAAAACCGCCATTATTGAATATGACAAGATATATCCACACTGCAGACATTTCTTGCGTAAATATTAGACAAAACTCAGAAAACTACGCTACCCAGTCTGCTTTGCGCCACAGAATGGAAGCAAGTACCTGAATAGAGATTTCCCGTGACTGAATGTTGATTTTCTTCTGTTGCTTTCTGTTTGGTCATTATTTTGTGGTTATGAAATGAATACATAAACACCTGGTACTGACGCCTGGTACAATATTGCAATTTACTGTGAGCCATGAACAAGTACATGCTCTGTAATACTTTTATATAAACGCTCGCAACTAAAAACTATGGAAAATAGAGACTTGCAATAAAAGGAATTGCTGAATTCTGTCAGCTATATGCGATTGAAGCTATGAATAATTGATAGTGTTCCGCGTGGCTGTACTGAACTGGAACATAAACCTATCAGCATAAAATAAGATTGTGGGATGTTTGGGGCCGGTTCACAATGTAAAACTATTCTCAAATATAGTAGACCTAAATTGATCAAGATATCCGACTCTACACTCAAAGGACTTGCGCACGCGCGATTTATAGCTGCGAAGGATCGTTTAAGTCGCGAATAACATAAAGTTTTAATACTGACCTAAATTTAAATGTATATCCCTTTCCTTGACTTGTCAGCTTACTCAGCTTTTGTCTGTGAGTGAATATTTCCGTAGTTTATCAAGAAATCGCGGGACAATCAGCCGTCTGAATACAACTTTAGTATTGCCAAGATATGTAAATGCTCCGGTGAGAGTACACCTGTGTGAGACTACAAAACGGCATGTGATTGGAGAAGTATTTAACTGGGTGAGATCACTAATTTATTTCTTGACGTATTGGAAGGTAGTTAAAAGCTATTATTCAACAAACTACTATTTGGTCTTTTACAACAATTTTATTTGATTATAACAAAATAGAACGAAATCAAACTAGTCCTGAAAACAGTCCTGAAATGATCGTTACTTGAAGTTTGAAAAATAATCCTCATGTCAGTTTTATATCATCGTAATGAAGACAATATAAATGGAAAGGAAACTGAAGACTGTGATTGTAAAATGTAGTTTATAAGTTACTTTCAACCGTATATAATGAACCAAATTGATGAACCCTCCTGGAGGCATGTCCTTATGTAGGCTTAGTAGCTTAGTCATATGTCGGCCATTACGTAACCAGTCTTAGAGATCAAACCCGACGAAAAATGCTTAGAGTACAGTAAGCTGAGCTCGGTTTAATGATTTTGCTGTTTTTCAGATGAAACCCGAGAGATTGTGATTTAGTCTACTTTAAATAAAGCGAATCTAATTTCTTTTAATTACTATACAATCAAGGATCGATGTCCAAAACAAAGTTTGACAGTAGTTTTTAGTGACTTTCACTTCTTCTCCCTTGTGTATCCGTTGATGGCGAAATTAATTGTCTGCGACCTTTCATGAGCATCTTCCACAAAGTCAGTCTGAATGTCCTATACTTCATGCAATAGATAACAGGATTACACGCACTGTTACCAAACCCAATAAACATGGTGACGATACCCCAACTGTTGACCATCTTTGTTCTCATGATGAACTCCACAAACAGAAAAGCACAAAAGGGTGTCCAGGCGATTAGATAGAGGCAGATGATTAGTACTATTATCAAAATACCTTTCTGGGACCTCAATGACTGTTTCTTGATACTAGCGTTATTGCGACGTTGTTTTTCAACCTGTGATGGAGTCATGTGATCGGTGACGTAATGAGATGTAGACAAACGTCCCAAGTTAGTTGCGCATTTCAGTTTTTTCTTTTGAATGCGAATGATTTGAAATATACGAATATATATGAAACACAGTGTCAACGCTGATATTCCAAATGTGAAAAAGATCACAGATACAGTAAACACGGAGCTCTCTGTATTAGATGCCCAGTGTTCTGTTTTGCATTCACCAATATATGGAATAAAACATTCAAATGAAGTATAGTCAGTTAATCCAGGGATGATGGCCCACGATGAGCTATAAATCCAGCTTATAAGACAAAAGATTGCAGTTCTTCTGGAGGACATAATGGTTTGGTATCGAAGTGGTAGAGATACAGAAATATACCGATCAATAGAGAGTAAAGAAAGGTGAACAATTGATGAAATACAGAAGCAAAAATTGGCAGCAGCGTTGATGTATCCCATGATTGTACCTGCACGCCATTGTCCGTAAATTACAACATCCACAGTACAAGGAATGACTAAAACACCAACCAAAAAGTCCGCGACGGCGAGACTCAACAAAACTTGGTTGTTCATGACCATTTTCTTGTGTTTCTTCATTTTCGTGAGTACGACAATGGTGGATATATTTCCAACGATGCTTAAAACAGCAATTATTATTAAGTACATACTAACCAAAGCAACCCATACCGTTGACCAGTTATTAGTAGGAAGGATAAAGCCAGTGGTTTTAGCATGAAAGAGATCCGAGTTGTTTCCTTTCATCTTGTTGAATCATACGTTAGGAAGCATTGTGTTCAGTTGAAATCTTTCATTTAAACTGGTTATTCATCAAGAGGCTCAAAATAAATCTATTCATATGAATCTTGTTTTCTATTGGCGGGAAAAAACATCAAAAGTATGCAGAAAGATCGTATTCAAAACGAGTTAATGAGCCAAAACGTTTGCATCTTAAAATAGCTTGCGCTTGCGCACTACTTAGAGTTTAAAGGCTCATTATACATGTACGATGCTTTCCGCATACCTTTGATGTTTTTGCCGCCAATTGAAAACAAGATTCCTATTATTACCTAATTAGCAATTACACTATAAATAGCTTGATCACAGCCAAGTTATATTGGCTGTGATCAAGGTAATTATTTCTCCATATTAAAAGGCAGGTAGCTAAAAGATACACAAACAAATAAATTGCGCATTTGCAACAAAACAACAGCTGCTGAATGACATTCATTTTTTATGTAAAATCAAATGTAAAGAGATGAATAATAAAGATATCGTCAATATACCATTTAACAAGCCAACAAGTGAGAATGAGAATAAAAACCACTATGCTATTAACATACTCTTCTTTAAATACCGCATAACCAAAGACGAGGCGCATTAATCCCTACACCCCCATAATACTAGATCCGCTACTGAAACTCAATGATGAATCAAAATGTTTTAGGTCGATTTTTCTATAAATCCGTCCCTATTTTGTCATCATTGACATCTTTACCGCCGTCAGGGCTTTCCGTACACGCACTAGTGTTTTGATTTACAGTGTCTGGCATCACCCTGTTTAATGTCTCTGGTAGACTCAGGAAAAGAATACCGCTGATCAAAGCATTGATAGCCATGATACCAAATGGCATTAGAGGATGAACTCTTTGCTGTTGACAAAACAAGATGAAATTTCACTAAAGTTTAAGAAGAAATCATTAGAATCTACTTCAGTAGTGTATGAGTTTTTAATACCGAGTATACGATGTAAGGTGAAGCAGCAGAACCAATACGAGCTGATGATGACGACGTACCAAGAGCTGTATTCCTGGAAATACCAGACCAGGTTTAGCACTTATTGTYTTGTGAATAATACACATAATAAACACTGTTGGATTAGTATTTTACCTAATAACTGTTGGGAAAAGTTCCGATGTATGCACAAATATGCCATCAAACGCGATTGTGATAAAGAACTTTCCAATGACCATCGTCATGAGGATTTTACCGGCCAAATAACCTAAATTCAATTGATTATATTATTTTCTGATTCCATCAAATATTTCAATGATTATTACCATATTGAAGATATTGCTAGAAAAGCTTGAAACTTTTATTTTCTGGAAAATATTTTTACAAGACATCGGTCCAGCTTGTCATGGTACTCATGCTAAGGTCAGGTTCAGAGAGCGGGAAAATAATCAGTGCAGCTATCCTAACCTAGTTACTGAGAAGTTTCCCCCAGTTTTTAAATCAATCATTAGTGATAATGTTTTCTATTATCAATGGGCGGATCATACCGTCACTGCCGTCGTCGTAGTAGCTCAACAGAGCAGCAGCAACCATAGCAACTCCTCCAATCCACAGACTAGCAGCTATAGACTTCTTTCTTCCAAATCTATGCAAGGAAGATAGTAAAGATGACAAATTTGGCAATACTACAGATCGTAACGACTGCTCATGCTCTATATAGGATTAACAACTTGCTACTTGCATTTCTACTCTAGTAAAGATCGCTATTACGCATGCCATTTTTAAAGTAGGGTCGAATGTGATGTAGACTTACTTGTCTAGACAAAAGATGCCAATGATCATACCAACACACTCACATACAGCAGAAATAAAGAAATTTAAGTACATATTGCCGCCAATTCCTGGAGTACTCAGTGATATTCCATAGTATACCATGCCACAAACACACCTGAAACATATTAAGTATACTGCAATAGTGGATACAGAAATAATGATATTAGCAGGTCTATACCTACCAACAATACCACGATACAAGCGTCCGATATGCCACTAATCGAGATGTAAAAAGATCTCCGATATGACCAAGTTTTATGTTTCTTTCGTCGTTGTCTTCTTGAATCAACATAAAGTCCTCATCGACCAGCAGTTTACCATTGACACTAGCAGCTTTTTGAAGCGTCTTTTTGGCTTCGGTTGATTTGCCTTTCATGAGCAGCCATCGAAGAGATTCTGGGGTGAACCTGAATTTGATACGAAATTGATTGATAGATATCAACATCATCATCATTATCCTCGTGAATATAACATCGTTATCAACATAAGCATAAATATAGTGAATAATCATCCTTACCACCAAAAGACAAACCCAATGAGCCCTGGTGCACTAGTGACGATGGTCAGCAGTCTCCATGCAGGTAGTAAGTATGCTATTAACGCTAAAAAACACATCGCAAATACAAAGGCGAACCATATGCCGATGCCCACAGCACCACGATGCCGTGCACCCACGTATTCCAGCACCAGAACGAACGCAGTTGTACCTGCGCCACCTACAAAAGCATGATAATGGTGTAGTGGGATGGTCAATAATCTAATTAGTCCCACCAGTTTTCGTTCAAGACTAATACTACTAAGTTACCCAGGGTGTGCCAACGTCATATCCGAAAAATCGCGCCATATCCTTACCTAATCCAATTCCCACGAGACTTCTAAACACAGCAAAAACCCAGTAATGTTTGGCGATTGCCGAAATTAAACCACTGACCGCCACGATCATGAAGAATGGAAAAGTGACTTTCTTTCGCCCCACTTTGTCGCTGAGAATACTTCCAACAATACTTCCTAACATCCAGAATAGGAAGGCTAATGAGTTGACATGGCTGACGTATGTCGACGTTTTACAAACGAGATCCCACTGTTAAGATGAATAATAATGATACACGTCACAAAATGTCGTCCAGGTATTGTCCAGGAAAATTTGCCAGATTACTAATTCAATGGTGAACAAAAGCTAAAAAAATGCTAGACAATGCCCTGCAATATATAAACACGATAGGCGTACACAAAACATTCTAAGATTCTCTCAACTTTTGGAGAATTGAAATCCCCGGGATTGAAATAGAGAAAAATACCATCCAAATGTACCTCGGTAACAATAGAATCAAAGTTTCCGTCCACTGCAAATTCCCAGTCACTGCGTGGAATATCGCATCGATATTCATAGTTCTTGTCACCTGGTTTAAAGGTTCCGTTCAGTTTACAGGACGTAGCGTTAGCAGTGCATCTCCAAGGAGGCTCGGCTGTGCTGAATGTCATCACCATCAATACATTGGTGGTAATAAACACCATAAATGACGCTACAAGGAAAAGTCGTACCTGGTACCTGCCAAAGCTGCCTATTTTGTTGATAAGTTCTTCAGTATTGTGCGCCATTTTGAACTAATAAAGGAACAACAATAAGACAGGTGATTGCGACTGCGTATACTGAAAAGTCTTTTCCTTGCGCAAGTGAGGTCATGTCATTATGCACTTTCTGCTTGCAAGTTTGTCCTTCTTGCAAGTTGTTGCAATGCATAAGATATCAAGGCAGTTGTCCCGTTGGCGAATTTTGAAATATTCAAGGGTATTAAGTCTGTTTCTCTCGATCGCGCCTCATCGTCAAAACAGCATGTCTTTGGACCTCATCATCACTATCAACATCTGACATAGAGGATATTACATGGACGCGCCGAGATATCTCCAAACGACCATGTAATATTCTGTTTATCATATAATTACATTATAAGTAAATTATGTCGTAAAATACCTTTTTACTTACTTCCACTATATAGAGAAACCTCGAAAATGTATAACAACTTTACGAAATGGATAATATAGGTACTTCATAGATAATTATATGATAAAAATGTTTATATCCCGACACTTATTGCGTTCAGMTCTAGCAGTATTATTTGTTATGCCAGATATATATCAGTGATTTAGTGAAATGGAGAGAATGCAAAGAAGATGATGATTTAACAGAGAACGACATCTTTTTGCCTTTGCTTACTCTATAAAATATTGTTTCCTCGCAGCTATCGTACGCCTATTATTTTCGACGTCCTGTTGTCACTTCAGCATTTGTTTGCTCATAGAAAATCATAGATAAATTGCCCATGAGCGCACATGAAACTCTACATACAATCTCCTACTAGTGAATGGAATTGTAATCCAGTGGCTCAGAACGGCTCAAATGGCGACTATGTTAACGATAGTAATCGAAAAAACGAGTATATCTCCTTGATTCAATAGCGTCATTCAAGGCTACAATTCGATGAGTCATCTTCCACGATAGTCTTTCAAACTAAATTGATTCTCTTCCGGTGATGCTAAAAAAACATCATTCACGCGCGCGACAATTGTCCTTCATGACATAATCAAGACCAGTGCAGTAGTTTTATCTTAAATCCATTCCCACCTCTTTTCAGATTTTGTAGATAGCCCTTTACAAGCAAATTCCAAACCATCTATAAACTTGTGGCGTTACCGTAGCGGTGTTTGGACAGAATGTGATCGGCTTTTTGTACAGGGGTCACAAAAATTTGGCAGCTAAATTTCACCTCGAATCATATTACACACTCAAAGAGATCATACTAGGTAATTCTAATCTGGTCAACAATTTTGGAATGTTAGAGCCCTGCAGCTGTTTTTAGAACATCACTTAGCACATTTATATCTTTGACCTATTCCTATATTATTACTTGGTTTTTGGAACAAAAAAGAAACAAGATGAAATTGTTGAATGATGTCTGTTTTTGCTTCAAACTGCTATTTTTCTTTTATAATCTTGACAGCATGACACCTTATAGAAATACGAACTGGAGTCATAGCTCCAGCGTACTACAAACCAGACAAAACAATGCCAAGAGCAAACGAACTAACGTCGACTCTTTATTAATTTCCTTAAAGTCTTATGCACTTCCCATTTCGTCATATTCTTTTTGAGGGTAAGTGTCCACCTTCGCCTTATTAAGCACCTAAAACGACGCACAACGTCCACCCAATATATTTACTCCGYCCCATTGATCCCTTGCGACAAATAAGATGACGTTCCCCCGGGGTGAAAGTACCGGGGATGCTCGTCAGAAATTTTCAAAAAGACCCCTAAAAGATCCTAGACACATGGCAAAGAACTCCGTTCTGATGGCAAAGATGGTCAGAAGGTTTTTAGTGCGTCCTTCGTCGGAGGTAACGTCCGAAACGTCAGTAAGTTATTTCTTCTTTTAAATTGCTATTAAATTTATCTTTTTATACAACTGATCAAAATTGTGATATTACGTGGTTCATTCGGAGCGAATCGTCACGTCAACTACGCGATAAGTGAATACTCTGAGTCTCCAAGGGCCTTGGACGCAATCTGCCATATCTGCAACGGTCATTGAAGAAGACAGGAAGCCCATGTAAAAGAGACGGGTTATTTAACACAGGAAGCCCAAAATGAAAAAGAATTGAGCTTCCTGCATGGTAGCCACCATTATACTTTTATGATACTCATCAGTTTAAAATTCTATCTTTCGCATTGAGCAAGCTCATGTAAGTACAATGTACTATATGTGTACAAACTTGGACATTGTATGTTGTATTAATTTATGAAAATTTGCCTGAAATTTGAGGTCTTTCTAAAATATAATTTAAGGCTTAGTGTCAAACAGCTGTATTTTTCAATCTAATGTTACAGCGCTGTTTATAGTGCTCTGAAAGGTGAGTTGGGATTTTATCCAGCCTCACATTTTATCAATCTTTATAGCAGGAAGATATCCAGTCAAATTAAATATAAAGCGGTTAAATATAGGCATATTAACTATGATATAGGTGCCTCTAACAATGTGTACAGCTTGTTGTGTTTTCTTCGTTTTATCTATGCAGATTTGATCTTAATTTATGTAAGATTGTTTTTCGTATAAGTAAGTTTTAAGCTTAAGAAAAGGCCAATTAGGGATGTCTAGGTGATAATTATACACTTAAACATGTAGCTATGTAGACTTAATTATCAAAGGTCAACCTGCTTTTTGATGGAAATAATTGTTGAATTATTAATGTAACATTTAAACTATTCTTATTGAAACACAGGTTCATAATTATTACACTACATTCAAATGGCAAAACGTTAAAATAAAAATAATGGAACTATAGAAAGAAAAAATGGGAGTCTAATGAAAACAACAAAATGAATGGGAAGAGTGGGAAGGGAGAACAGAATTGAACATATATTTGCATGTGTAAACAGATTGAACTCTATCTATGTATGATGATATTCAGCATGTCAAAGCCTAAAAACGCACATGTATTATTATTTATTATGAATTCTACAACTAGGTTAAGTTATGGCTGGTACTGCAGTATCAAGGTTTAGTTCTGTCTTTAGACGCCRGTCAGCTGTTGTCATAGGGATGATTCATGTAGATGCTTTACCAGGTAAACTTAATTGCTCTCAATAGACATCGTTAATGTGTTTCCTTGTCAAAWAAAAAGTCAATGATTTCTTTGTCATGAAATCWGGAAAATAAAGACATTTTGAATAACAGTCCATGGAGCAAGTAGTTGCTAAGTAACAGCTTTGACTTGATTCAAAGAAGTAGAAATCAATAATTCATATTATTAAATACTGATATTGTCGATTGCAATTATATGAAGGCACTCCAAGGAATCATCTTCCTATGTCTGAAATATTGGAAAAGGCGAAGTTAGAAGCACAGATTTACAGGAAGGCTAACATAGTAAGTACAATAATCCTCTCCAGGTGTCATTCGCTTGCTTCCYTACCAAAAGCACAGATTTCACCRTATYTTAATCTAACTCATTGCTCTTATGTTAAGGATGCCATTATGGTTGAGAACATGCATGATCTTCCATATCTAAATCGTCATGTTGGTCCAGAAATTACAGCCGCTATGAGTGTAATATGTACAGAAATAAAGAGAGAAGCACCGCTTATACCCTGTGGTATCCAAGTGTTGACTGGTGCAAATAAGGAAGCCATTGCCATTGCTAAAGCTGCTGGATTACAATTCATAAGAGCYGAAGGKTTTGTTTTTTCACATGTTGGYGATGAAGGGTTGATAAACTCTGATGCTGGAGAGCTTTTAAGATATAGAAGGTTGATTGAAGCAGAGGATGTTCTTGTATTTACTGACATCAAGAAAAAACATAGGTATATATTCTAATGATATTCAATGATTGAACAATTTATTCAATTATATATTACTGAACAATTCAAAATGACTGTCTTTATACATGCATCTTTATTTAATGCAAAAGTGATTAGATTCCATGGTGGTTTRACTTTCAAGGTTTCATTGCTGCGCATTCTCAGTGGCTSWCATTCTTWAGTATTGAACAACAATCAGTCARGYTTAYATTTGATTTTCTCAACAGCTCACATGCAATAACCCATGATATCGATGTAGTCAACACAGCWAAGGCTGCAGAATTCTTTCAAAGTGAYGGTGTTATTGTCACKGGAAATAGTACAGGTGAACCTGCAAACTACAAAGAGTTGCTAGCAGTACAAGAGGCTGTTTCTGTACCAGTGTTRGTTGGGTCTGGAGTGAACATTAGTAATGTCAAACAGTATCTTGGAGCTAATGCTTTAATTATTGGCTCACACTTCAAAGAAGATGGACATTGGTCTAAGCCTGTGTGCTTTGAGCGTGTTAGAAGTTTTATGGCTAAAGTTGAGACCATTAGAAAATAATTTAGGAATTTGCAGATGCAACAGAGAGTATTTGTATTGAATTCAGACACTATTTTACAATAATCTCTGTTTATCACAGTTAAAGCACTAGGGAAATATCATCCAAGCATTCATACATGTATGAAAAAGTATGTTATATTTAACACTTATTTACTGGAACCGAGGGAAACAGTATGTTTTGTGGTCCCAAGACCGCTGATGTTTCCCGAAGTGAAGCTGAGGGAAACATCAGCRGTCGAGGGACCGCAAAACATACTGTTTCCCGAGGTTTCCAGTAAATAAGTGCTTTATTATCATATCAAGTGTCAAAGAGAGCAAAAAACGTAAATAAATGAAGTGTTTTTATTAAAGATTTTGATAAAATGACTGAAAAATGGCAATACAAATAGTCAAATGTCACTAAAATCAATCAATTTAATAACACAATGAATATTATAACTATTTGTAGACGAAATTAAATGTTTCAAAACAATTTTGGAATTCACAGTCCGTAAATGTGGCATTTTCACGACACTGAAGAGTGTTTTTCTGCGATTTTGTACTTATTGACGGTCCACAACATATTATTGACCGCTGGTGGACAGTTGCCGGGAAACAGTAAAATTTTGTGACTTTCACGTGGTACACTCTCGACCAATAAGATACTAGGAAAAGTGAACTTTGACACTTGATATATAATAATATTTGATATTTATATATCATTCTATGATGTTTATTATGTAGGAGTAAGGAGTAGAAGACTCTATCCATGGTATAGTTTTGATTTTTGTCCATCAATATCATTGTTACCACATGATAGAATTCAAACGTAACATTTCAATGATGTACAAGCAACATTTTGTAGATTATTGAATTATGTCATATCTAAATGAAATATTCCTCTCTTTAATATATGTCTGTTTGAGAAATACTTACAGGTTTGAATCTTATCATGATATATTCTAGCATAATGTCATATTACTTTGAATRATGCATCAAAAGATCTATGTGTAGGTCTGTATTGTTGACTTTGTCTTAATGTGAATTGATGTACTCTTAAGTGGGTTTGGTCTGTAGACAAAATCATATTCATAAATCTAATTCAATTATGCTAATCAATTGCAATGCAAATAAGGTACTTTATGAAAGTACTGCAAAATGAACTATCAAATAAAGAATTTAATATAAACATGACTCTCACTCACAACCTTATAATATATACTAAAAATTATTCTTTTTCACAAATCACAAAAACGTGTTGATCATTCTTACTGTAGACGCAGTTAAATGGATATTGTTATTGAATGTCAACATGAATTATTGAATACTTCTTCAAAAGTTCTAATAATTTTTTTTAATGAAAAAAAATTAGAAAAAAAATTATTTTGTGGGAAGTTTTTCCAAACTTGTCTTCATTCCAAAGTTGTAGTTACAGCATAATGTTTATACTTAAGGTGAGATTAGCAGAGATTCTAGTGTGCATAATTCATGTTCTGATAACCAGGTGGAAATAACCAAAGAAAACTCTAAACAGCTTTTTATAGAAACTTTTTATTATTGCCATAAGRTGGCATTCAATATACCATACACCAGTACAGCAAATCTTTGATGAAGTGCATTTTTACAATATTATATGATATACCGATTGATGGTGGAATTTCAATTATTATGCTATATATTTTTTTTTGTCTTTGAAAATAGTTCATGTTTTATCTTTTTTTGGTCTTTTATAGACTAGATAAAGCTATCTAGTCAATGCAAAGTCCAAGCCACCAATTTATTCTCAACCACTGTAATTCATTGTACACAGTACACTCAATTGAAAAAGATGGGTAGTTTAAACTATCACCCATTACTAAGTCTAACATCACAAAATCTAAGAAAAAGCTCTCAGAAATTTCTTGAAGGTGAAATAATTTATATACACAATTAGAACAAGACTAAAAGAATGGTCTTTTTTGGTCCTATAAATAGTAATTATGCGTTGGACTTTGACTCTCCAAAAATAGTTACAAGCTAATACCCTCTCTTCCCATGCAGTCCAACATGTTTTCCATCCATCCTATCCCGCTTTTTCGTTCTTCTTGAGCGGGAAGGATGGTGATGGACGTTATTCTGTCTCTTGAGATTTTTTGTATTTATTTTTCTAGAGGCATTTTTCGGAGGCTCGACGAGTTTTCGCTTGGATATTAAGTCGAGCTGTTCCTGAAAGCGGACGTTCCTCCGTGTTGACCTGCGCTCCACGGCCTGGGTCTCGTTAGGTTGCTGGCTAGAAGGCCTCGATGAACTTCCAGATGCAGAAGATGATCTGTTACGATGGGGGCCGTAGACAGACATACTGGGATGTTCAATCAGCAAGTCTTCAAAAGGATTTGCTTCGAGGCCTTCATCGGCCACATCTCCTGCATCGAAACAAGATGGCGGAGTGACGTACCAACTTTCTTCGACGCTGTCTGGAACAGCAATAGCGTCCTTTTCGCGTTGAATTTGATCTGAATAGCATATAAATTCGTTAGTTTAGAATAAAACGTACTGTTTATAACCGAACAACTCAAATAAAGCAAAGGAAGATGATCTGATGAAATCTGTAGTGATGTCATGATGGTGAAATAGCAATRTCAAGGGCGAATAAACGCCATAATAGGGATCCAGGGAAATAATAAAATGCAAAAATAATTTCTCCGAAAAACATTCAAGGAAATAATAATGATAAAGATAAAAAGAATATAATACCTTTTGCATTGTCCACTGATGCCAAATCAACCAAAATCCACCCTTCGTCAACCTTCTGTTCGTCAACTTCCAGTGGACATTCAGGGACGACTTGGTCCTCAGTGGCTCCCCAGATATAGCTAGACAGGCTTGAAAACATGGTTTCGGCTTTGCAAAATTCAATCTGCAATTCCAATAAAGGTTAAAAAAACACAAATCAGTTTTCGATCGATATTCATAACGAAAGACAAGCGTTACCATATTTATACAAACAGCTGGAAGATGTCAAAGACGCCAAAAACAATCCTTTGCACGCAACATTAGAGAGCCAAATCGATAAAAATATTTAATTCTCTCTTACCTTAAGATTTTCTACGACTATTTGTGTTTACACTGTTGTTGAAGAGCTCGTTTATCCAAAGAGTCCGCCAAAATCGGTTGATTCTTTCTGCTTGTCTTTGCTATTTCTGTGTTGTGATGGGCGAGTTACGTCAACAGCTATTTCGCTCGCTTTTTCCAATAAGATACAATAAAACTCAATAGTTTTTTTTAGGAAATAAATTGCTTGGATGTCTTGTTAGAATTAAGTGTCAATTCGTTGAAATTCGTTTAAGATATGAGCGAGTTTTGAGCGCCAAAAGGCTTTGATTACGTTTGTTATTTTCTATGCAAAATAAAAATTTGGGAAAACTCTTTTGTATGTTTGTTGACATTCTGTCAAAGTCCAATCAACATTGTATTAGCCAATGAAAATCGCTTCCGTTTACCATATTAGGATATAGTGCGTTTGCGCGTGCACGTGATAGTGTTAGTAATTTGCATAAAAATCAAAGCAAAAATGTTAAGGCTATTTCCGGTTGATAGTGAGGGAAAAACCTAAATGTAACCACTAATTCATTATTCGTTCATCAAACCACAGCACACGAATATGAAATTGAAAATCATTACAATTTWAACAGCTATATCATAATGCTCTCCAAATGTCGAGATGTAATGTAAATCGCGAAGGAGCATTGTTTGTGCGGTCGTAGCAGTATTCACGAACTTCTTGGCCCAAAACATTATTTCATTTGGCTCATAACAGAAATTTCTAGTATATGAATGAAAATAATGTTAAGAATTGATAGAAACAGTCAAGTAAACTACGTCAACCAGACCCAATTACACCGGGATTAGCTGAGCCGCTCCACAGCCCGCGTCACTAACAGATATGGGAATGTTACTATGGAAACGGTTTGAGCATGACGTCTTAAATCCACTTGGAAAGGGCACGGCTCCAAGAATTCCCCTTTTATTGTATTTTATCCGACAAAATGACAGTTAAAATAAATCTCCTTGACTTTGAATTCTTTACAGAAATGCTAACTTTAGCAATGCTCCTAGTCCAGTCTTAGACTCACTTTTTTTGTTTAGTTGGAAAATCCTGGTACACTAACTCTTTACTAACGTCCGAAACGTCAGTAAGTTATTTCACCTACTTTTTTACGGGATCTTTTTACACAACTGTAAAATTCGTATAGTAATTTATGTTAATTTATGTATTGCGCATCYAAACTATGAATCCCATGATGCTCTAGTGTCTGGAATTAAGAAATAAACATGGCGTCGCGTCCGAACATTCGAAAACATTTCCGCGTTACGTGAATGATCGTCAAATACTATTTCTACGCTAAAATGACATAAGAGCTACTACATATCACAAAAGGTAGAACTCCTAACTAAAAGTATGTCTTTGAAACTTCTGGATAAACTGTCGCCGCCTTGTGATAGTGACGATTTACGAAGAGTTGTTTGTGATGATGAACTTGATAGTYTACCTCACTCAATGGGCTTTAATGGAAGACTTGTCATGATTAATGAAAATGGTTATCATTCTTTACAAAGACAAAAAGGAGAAGGTCAGTATTTCACAATGAACCGTATTTTAATTTGCCTCAAAAATACCAAGTAATATAAAAGAAAATGCTTGATTTCACAATCATAATSTCAATCAGAAGGAAAGAGTGCACATGCGCACTCGCAACTTTTCAATTTTCAGCCATGAAGTCGTAAGTATATTTATATGCTGTCCAAGCTGTTTGCACCCTAATGTTTACAATCTTTATTACTATGATTTCACAGTTCACATGTATATAGCCTAAGGCTGTAGTATTCTTGGGAGTAGAGGTTGTCGTACGACTTCCATATATGGATGTCCATATGCATGGCTGTAATGTGCCTATAGAAGGCTCTCATGTCCCTATAGATGGTTCATTAATTATATATTCAATCTTATGTACATATGCGTTGTTATTCATGCATGCCGTTGCATAAATATCACTAAAATTCAGGTTCACTCAAGTGAATTGGTCTCGTGGCTTAATGGTTAGGTTTAAGGAAAATATTGGGTTAGGCAATGCATAGCGCTGATTTGAATCTTAGTATTCATTCTTCAAAAATTTCTTTTCAGTTTAAGTTTAAGTGTTTGAAATTTTCTAAGTTCTTCTCCATGTAATTGGGACATCAGCGCCTTCTACGAGCACATCAGCGCCTTCTATGTGCACATCAGCGCTGTACATGCACAACCATATATGGAAGTCGTACGACAAACCCTTCTCATTCTTGGGTTGCAACCACATGATCAAAAATCCCTCGAAAAATAAAGAATAAAGCTATCACCACCATGTTGGATGACTGAACAATGAGAAATGCTTTGTTATTGTAATCCAACATGTTGATGATGAAGTAACGTACAACCGGAGAATATGGAGAAAGTCTTCCATTTCTTATGATATTGCTAGTGATATGACTATGTCAGAGTCATTCACATGTGATTCTCTTATTAATCATGACTATGAATAAAACTATGATTATAATGYTGTGTGAGCTAGTACATTTTGGAACTACTCATGCATTGGATGGGGTTTCTGGCCAAAGTTGATCTTGAGGTTTTTACAGAGACTTCTTCTCTCATCAGGTTGTTATAAGTTAGGAAGAAGTTAATTAAAGTTCCTATTGTTCAATCCCAATACCTGTATATTGTTTAGTAATGATCAATGTAAGCTAACAGCTATAGTTCATCTTTACCTGATGCACCATGGTCATACTCAACTTACTTATTCATATGTCATACTGTACATGTGGCAATCCAAGCTGGAACAATCTCGTACCCAGCGCTCCTGTCCTTCTTACTGCACATGCTCACTAAAAAACAGGGGTGCTGGGTACCTGCTAGGTACGAGATTGGAACTAGAATAGCACAACATATTAACCTGGCCTTATTTGGGTTAGCATTGGAAATTTTAGAAACTGAAAGTTTGGTTRTCATGAAATTATTGTTAATGTATTAATTAAATATGAAATATGAAAGGTTTTACTTTCAAATATTTTAGATATAATKTCTTTTCATACCATATTATAATGATATTATCTATGTTATGGATCTCACACRTTGTGCTTGTAGGTATAGTCAACATTATAAACTTRTCATCAAAATGAATGTACTTTTAAGAGTATYCATGAAATTACAATTAGATCAGTCGTATCCTAAACAATTGAGGAAGATGGCATACTTAGCATATTCTTACCTTAAGAATACAATATGATCACCCAGGGAATCAAACCCAGACTTGTCAACCTGATGTATCAACCCTTAGACAAACATGTCTGTTTCATTTTGCAGTTGTATTTGAAGAAGAAGATGAAAGCAGTGACAAAGAAGAGTTGCTATTTCCTGTGGACAGTATTAGCAGAGGTTATAGCATCTCTAGCTACACAGATCAAAGACAACAACTAAGATTTGAAGTTGTTTCAACTAGAATTTGTGAGGAAGGCAATAAGAAACATGTGGTAAGAAAYGGTATTGAATTACAGTTGCATTAGATCCAGTATACCTGTAGTTTGGTTCACCTTGTTGTGCAAGGATATATATTGTGGATCATCAACAGTAAAAAACTCAAATATTTGTACAAGGGAAATGACTCAGACACTTCATGTTCAGTTCTGATGAACAGTTTGGTGTGACTACTTGAATGAGACCCACTTGAGTGAAACTGACCAATTAGGTAGCAGGAAATCTAGTCAGTGATAGATGGAGGAATAGAAGTGTGAATATCTTAATTCAATAAGACAATAGTGTTCAAGTTAATACATGATTGTCTTATTTTTAAAAGAACCTTGAAAGAGTTTCAAAGAAAGAGTTTGAAACTGTTGAATGATGATTACCAAAGTAATTTTACCATAGCCACTATGAATAAAGACTCTTTTTTATGAATAACAGTTTTGCTTTTAAAACCATGGATTTATTATTAATTCTCTAGTAAAAYATTCTTTATAGATAGTAGCTGATGACCATGTTTATTTTTTTTAGGTTTATACAATGGTGGTTGTTAAGACTGAAGAGTTAGACAATGATAAGGCCATTGTAGAAAGGCGCTATTCTGATTTTATCAAACTTTACAAAGAATTAAAGAAAATTGCACCAGAATTACTTTCAAAAGTTCAAATGCCCAAGAAAGTCATTGGAAAACGAAACTTTGATTCAGAGGTGATTCAAGAACGGAGTAGAGACTTTGAAAAGTTTTTGGGATTTGTGTACTCCACTGAYGTAGTAAGGAGAGCTAATGCTTTCAAGGAATTCTTCTATTTTCCAGACTTGAAGAGAGCTTGTTCTCATATCAGAGGAGGGAGATTTGTTGATAGTTTAAGACTTCTTTTAAATGCTTTACACTTGCAACAAAAGCTGGGTGATGGTACTAAGGAAATAGTAGCAACTTTAGGTAGTATTGTTGTGGCATATGAGAATACTGGACATTACAAGGAGGCAGAACAATATGCTGCTGCTGCACTTGACCTKGTAAAACACAATGTAAATAGTGCATATTTGATACCACTGTTGAGCACAAGGGCTGAAATGTGCTGGAGAATTGGAAAAGCTAAAGAAGACATTGAGCAACAGCTCAACCAAGTCCAGAAAGTAAGTGGGATAGAAGTGGAAAATGCCTGTACTTTAAGAGAGCTGGCTGTCAACCGCTATGAAGAAAACTATGAGTGAAATGGTATTCCTCAAACACTAATTTTGAACCATATAATGTTAAGAATGGATTTAATATGAATTGGTTAATTGACTAATGATTGACTGTTGATGGYATTTTAATGTAGTATTATTATTATTAATGGTACTAACATTATAAAGGCTGAGGAAAAGGATGATTGATTAAAATAGAAAATGTAAAAATTATGTAGAAAGTTCTAACAAAAATATTTCTAAAAAAGCAGTTTTATAACTTCTTGTAAATTTTCCCTTCAAACTTCAGGGTTTTCTAGAATTTCTTGATCTGGTTTATTAACAGTTTCTCATAATATATAGTGTACTTTCTAAGGATTTTCATCCTACATTTTACCTTAAAAATATTGTACTGTGTTTTCATCTATTGTAAATAGTTTATATTTTTGCAATATTGTCATTAGTGACAATAGGTAAATTGCAATGTCCACATAAAGGATTTTACTAAAAATGAAATAATGATATAGAACCATAGGCTACCCAACTATTGCTTGAGAGAAAGAAAAGTATGAATGCGCACGCTATTATATTATGTTATCGAATCGCATCGCCCTGCGGGTTTCCTGTGGTATTACGTCATTGATCCCTTGCCTCGTCGGTATCGAATCGGCGCGCGCTACGGGTTACTTGTGATTACATCAATGATCCCGTGCCTTGCGGGATACAAACTAGTCTGTCACAGAGTAGTTTGTATTGTATCCCGTGAGGCACGGGATCGTGACGTAATACCACAGGTAATCCGCACTTAACTAAGAGCGCACAACGATACTTGTACTAGAGTAAAAGCGTGCGCATTCATTCTTAATTTCTTTCTCTCAAGCAATAGTTGGGTAGCCTATGATAGAGAACCTGACTTCAAGAGTGGAACTAATTAGGTTAATTATATTTGTACATATCCAATTCCCTATGCAAAAATGTTTCATGTTRCATTTCCCCACTCAAATTTGACGATCTGTTTCAAAAAAGTTTTCTTATAGCCTGTTGTGTTTTATAAAGTGCTAGGACCCAACCCTCTGGTCTTTAGTCAACCAAAGAATGTGTATAAACTACTGGGCAATCATAGTTTAAAATGCAAATGACATGTTTAGTGGGGAGCACTTTACTAGTGAACATCCATGTCCTTCACATGGATGTCAAGGCGCTTTGTTAGATGAAAAAAAATATATACAGAATGTTGAGTTAAAAAAAAAATTCAAATATGGCTSACAGTGTGACTGTTGTAATTACTATCGTTTAGATGCCTTGAAACATTTATTTCTATTTTGTTAGTAATTAGTTTCACGTGTATCAGTTAGCAACGGATGTGACGAAATGATGTARTCATGGATTTATAACGAGATTTGTAAATTTGTACATTTACAATTGTTTTATTAGACATTCATAATAAAATTATGACAATGAATAATTTCACATTTGCGTTAAATCTTTCTTTTTTGTCTTCTCTTTTATACTGCTTGTAGCCTCAGATTGTTACTATGAAATTTATGAATGACTAAAATGGAGAGCGTGATTCATGCGGTGAGTCATGATCTCAGTGATGTCATCCAGGTTTAGTGCCCCATACTGGGTCATAATTCATATTTTACTAAAACGTTTTACTGCGTTAACCAACTTAACATAACTATATTTTATTAAGACCCTAAATAGTAYTTCATCTTCACCAAATCTATAATATTTTTGTTCATTACGTAATCAATGCGATAAGCTTATTTACGCACGTGTAAGTGTGAAAGAAATTGCGTTACGTAATGTAATTGTCACCTTCTCACGTGCAAGGTTATGTAATTCGATGCCTATAAATCCACATCGTAAGTYGACAAGRTAACTCAGAAAAKAAAGTAACTGTGCAAGATGGTGTCCTCCCACGTTGTTCGTACCGTCCTCACKGTTCTCACTCTGATTGCATTCATCATCACGATGATTCTGAATGCTTTCGCAGGTACGGCATCAAGACCTGACTTTCTAGCAGACCTCTATGGCAACAACCTCTCTACTGGCGATGTATCTGATATCTACAGTACCGAAATCACTCCAGCAGGATGGGCYTTCTCGATATGGGGTGTGATCTACACTTGGCAAACTCTGTGGATAGTATATTCTCTCAGCCTGATCTGTAGACCTCAAGTACCAGATGTKCTCAACTGGTTTTTCCATGTACTGTTTATATGTAGCTGTGCCTTCAACTGTGCMTGGATCGTCATTTGGCAACGACTCCATGTWACAGCATCATCGRTSATCTTGTTTGCCATAGCTTTCAACCTTTACGGGCTGTTACTGACCTCKTACTACCGATTTAACAAGCTGTACAATATAAACTTTCCCAAGATTGACTTTATTGCCACACAAGCACTCGTCCACAATGGCATCGCCTTCTATGCAACATGGTGTACAGTGGCTTC